GACTATCATAACTCCGAAACAAACAAATATTTTTATTTGAAAAAATTTCAGGATATACTTGAAATGTTACTTAATAAATGTGGAAAGTTTGGAATTAATATGTTTTATACTTTTCTTTAAAAAAATTCCCAAAAATCGCCTTTATTTTCAGAGCGTCAAACTAGGAAGACTCCTTAATCCGCGAGCTTCGTTCACGTCCTCGAATACAAATGGCAATTAAAGGGGACGACGAAATTCCCGTCGTCAATTACTCCGTCCAGTAATGTCTTGCGGGCCCTTTTTTCGTTGTTCTTGCACCACAATATTACCGCGGAATGGTTTATTACCGAGTGTGTGCAATATTGCAGTACTCACCCTCTTTTCTCCCGCGCTACCATTTCTAGTCGTTATGAGTTTCCAACGACTGGGTCACTGTCCCGGTTTCAACGTTGGTCTTTTTCCCGTTCCTCAACAGGTCTTCCCTCTACGCCAACTATTCCGTTAATAAATTTTACAGATCACGGCAAAGTGCCACAAATTGTCCGATGATAAAAGCTATCCGTTCTTGGTTTGCTATCCCATCTGTAACAGATCATCAATTATTAAAATGTTTTATTATAGACCGTAGCAATATTTAATTTTCAGACTAGATTAGCAGAGATCCTGAAACGTGTTAATCAAACCATGACATGTTCACGAATATCTATTCCGGAAATCGGAAAATCAGGTAGATAGATCGAGAATGAATTCCGCGTTCGGGGCAAAAAGACGAGATAGATATTGAGCGTCTACAAAAGTAATGGGAACTTCGTACTACGCGTGTTTTTCAACAGGTGGTGTAACCGCCGGCTGACTGTAGGAAAAAAAAAAACCTGTTAAATTCAACATTTGATTTCTGCCGCGCTTCCTCTTTTTCACTTGAGGCGATTAAATATTTTTCACACATATATAAATATGCAAAATGTATAACTTGATAAAATCAAATATTTTTTCTCACATTTTTTAAAATACTATTTCATGTAAATTATATCAAAGTAAAATTTGCTCTTGCACAGAACAATTTGACCTCCGTTTATTTGATTGAAATGCAGATTTCGTCAGCCTTATAGCGTTCGCCGGGGATTCTGAATACACGTCAGGTGATAGCCATTTGTTTAAGAAAACGTTTCTTTTCGATATTATTTCTCGATATAAAGTATTGATATTCCATGGATATCGGCCGATGGTGACCTCAACGGGGACCATGCCGGCGTGCTTCGTCTTGAAAATTAGACCGCAATTTATTATACTGGAACACGCGCGTACCGTAGTCGCTCCGACGTGATAAATGATAGATTAACGATCCGCGTGGGAAACAGAGTTGCTTTTATGGAGTTAAGCAGCCGTTCAGCCGTACGCGACGTCATCGCAGCGTAGTTTCGTCGCGCGGATCTTGACAAATGGACGCGGCAGCTGGCTTCTCCCTTAGGATTTCGATAAATTAAACATGCCGGGAGAACGCGATTTGTAAAATGTCGCCGCAGGATGCCGAGCAACAACGTCGCCCGATGAGACAGCGCGACATTTTTCTTCACTCTTCCTGCTTCTGTCGACACACACACATTTGCATACACGCAAAAAGGATACGAAATATTAACTATGAGCAAGCGATACCTCTTGCAGTGATATATAATATTCACCAGAAAATTTTAGCACGAAAAATTAATTTGAATTCAATTTCAATTTCAATTTCAATCTTAATTAACATATAATCGAAATGACAAAATAATTGCATAAAAATATTTGTATATCAAAATTCGATTGCGCTCAAAGTTAATTGATATAAAATATTAAATTAAATTTGTAACCAGTTTTTTACAATAAAGCCTCGAATTTCGGAAAAAAAACGGCGGAAGCAAAGTTGTACACCTAATATTATAAAATTTCTTTTAAAAAATATACTAATGTTTACCATTCCTATAATCAAACGAACCAATTTTTCAAAAATTCTCTTAAAAAAGAAAACATTAAAAAAAGGAAAAAAATTACATCCATCAGCGAGAAGATACGCGGATGTTTCGAGATAAGAATATCGGCATATTTTGTGTCTCGCTCTCTCGAGAAGAGAGAGTGTTTCTTGGTTTTCGTTCCGCAATAGATGTCCATGCTGAATGTATATTGTAGGATTTATTTCTATCGAGCGACTCTTTTCCAATCAGATTTTTATACTTCTCTCGCGTGTCCCTTCCTCGTCAGCGTGCCGTTGTGTACGAGAACGAACAAGAAAACGCCGGGGAATCGGCCAATCAACGCGATAGGATTTGGTAAACGAACCGTGACCCTAAAACGGGTCACTGACACATTAATTCCCGTCGCAAACGTCTGCGTGCGTTAACGAGCACGACGCCCACCTCATCCGCTCTTGCTACCTTCCAGAAAAATGAAAAGCTCAGATCAGTCACGGTGGTTTCCGGTAAATGAGGAGAGCGACGAGCTACTTTGACGCCGTTCCTCTTATGCAATTTAAGAGACAGGTTCATGTTTGAAAGGGGAGACCCCTGACAAGTGACTCCATTCTCCGTATGTAACAAGGGAGATAAGTCGAAAGTAACGATGGTTTTAGGTATTAAGTTTATACGTGATAAAAGAGCTTCAATCGTTTAAAGAATTTAAGCTTTAAAATACTTTAATCGATAATTTTATTCAACCAAGATAAAATGTAACAATCTTTTCAATCCTTTTTCCCGCACAAGTGTAATATTTTGAGAGAAGTATTATTACATGTAGATTGTAACGTTACTTGGATTACATAATTTTGTTCGAGTACTCTTGCCTTTATTTGCATAAAGTAAAACCTTACGACTTACATCTATACAGTCGTGTTGTGTTACGGAATGAGTTTAATCAGAGAAGTGATATATCAAGGGGTTTATTTTCGAGAAAATGAGAAAACGAAGGGAAAGGGTCGAAACTCTCGTGGACAAGAACTCGACCTCGCTTACTCGCTCGCTCGTCGATTCGCGAAAAGATCGGCGGGAGACCTAATAAAACTAAGCTAGTTCTTCGTGGGCGTTGCTGACGGACGGACAAGGCGGCAAGAAATTGTAATTTAAATGGAAAGATGCAATTTTGCCTTAATGCCGGGGCTGCGGCGTAAAAGTTTTACGAGCTTTTAGTATGCGTTGTGTAGTCGGATGGAAAACTCGACTTACATTCGCGCGACATTAGCCAATTTCCGGTTTCTCGCGACTTTCATACCCCGGTGAGCGTGTATCGCGCTTTTTAATAAACTTTAGGGAAAG